ATGTACTCATGGATATTTACTTCATGTTTTGAGTTATAATACAATATAATTTTATTTGTTTGGTTGCTCAAATTATTCCAGCTTTGGCCATTGGAGCTCTTCTAGTAGGCTCCTGCATCCCTTTGTCATCCCTCCATCATTGCACTTCCTTAAGTTCTTTTTTTTTCATATTTTATTGATTTTTTTTTACATATTTTATTGATTTTTTTTACCCCCCTCCCTCCCTCCTACCCATCCCCTCCCTCCCCAGAGTTTTATGTCCATTGGTTGTACTTATATGCATGTTTACAAGTCCTTCGGTTGATCTATTATCTCCCCCAGATCTTCCTCCCCTCCCCACTGTAATTTGACAGTCTGCCTGTTGCTTTACTTTTTCTATCTCTGTCTCTTGGTTCATCAGTTTATAAAGAGCTTTATCGTCCACCAATGAGTGAGGTCATGTGGTATTTCTTTCATTGATTGGCTTATTTCACTCAGCATGATGTTCTCCAATTCCATCCAGGTTGCTGCAAATGATGAGAATTCCTTCTTTTTTATGGCAGCATAGTATTCCATTGTGTAGATGTACCAAAGTTTTTGGATCCAATCATCTGCTGACGGGCACCTAGGCTGTTTCCAAATTCTGGCTATTGTAGATTGTGCTGCTATGAACATAGGGGTGCAAATATCCTTTCTGATTGGTGTTTCTAGTTTCTTGGGATATATTCCTAGAAGTGAGATTACTGGGTCATATGGGAGTTCCATTTTCAGTTTTTTGAGGAAAATACTTCCTTAAGTTCTAATCCAAGATGTTTTAGGCTCATCTTGTACCAGAAAAATACTCATATTAGAGCAGGGGACATTTTTTTGCTCTAGTCCTGGATCAGCCATTTCTTCAAGAAGTTTCTTTTATTGGAGAAGAGTATTAGAAGCCAAAATTTGAACACTATGTGAATTTGTTGCTCTTTCTAGGCTGGGCCATATTTTCAGCCTTGCTCTGCTCCAGTTTGCTCACCTGTAAAGTGGGTATAATAACAGTAATAGTATATTCATCACAGGTTACTGGGAGGATTAAATTAGGGAATTGTGTAAGAGCTTAATGTAGTTTCTATCAGATAGTAAGTGATCAAAAATGTTAGTGATTATTTCCCATACAATTTTTTACATGTGAGCTAAGTTTAGTCACCAAAATTCTTTTCTATTTGCTCATTTTCCTGAAAAACCCTCAGATTTTTTTTTCTGCTAATAGTTTATAGATGGAGAAATTAAGTGAAAAAGGGAGTCAACTTATGCTGCATTAGAACCTAAGTGTCTTAGTTTCAAGCCTATTATAGACCCAAATGGATCACCACCTTTGCCAACTGAGGGGTATGGATTTTTACATCCTTGATTCTTGCCTTCCTTTGTTTGAAGGACTTCTTGGTTGTATTGATTCTTAGATATCTGTCACCAGAAAATATTAGCTCATGGCATAAAGGAAGTAATGTACTTCAATCCATAACAGGCCACTCATAGATACAGTACCACATTTTCTGAACCAAACAATTGAACACATGATATGGAATTTTTTTTTTCTATTCTGGGTATGGATGAAATCAATATATGTAATTTGACCCTGAAAAATTGGCATCTTGAGATATATTGATAATTTACAGGAACAGTAGGACAAGGTATTTAATCAGAACTGACCAGCAAAACTTAAGATATGCTACTATTTTGATAATACGATCTTATCATAGTCTCTCTTTTTATGGTACAGTGATCCTAATCAGACACAGACAAATTTTGGATGAAATGTCAGTGCATGACAACATACAAGCCAACTAGGATGCTTTGACTCAAGGAAGATGTTTATTGGAACAAATGTGTAGTCACCTACAAGGACAACAGCTTCTGTTGCTAATGAAATTCGCATGGTGCTTACTGAAAATAACAACCTACATGGTATGAAATCATAGCTTTAGCTATAAAAAACAAACAAACAACCTGTCTTCTAGGGAGGTGGGTTTTAGTTGCATAGAAAAGATCTTTGGGTTCATTTCGAAGTTACAATGGGCTGCATTTGGAGGTAGTGAGTTTCCCATCTCCAGAAATGTTCAAGAAATGGGTCATGGAATTAGACAAGATGGTCCTTACAGACACTCTAATCCTTTGCCTCTGACTCTGTGAGAGATTTCAGTTTCTTGAACCTTGGCAGTAGTGCAGGGGCTGATACAGTTTTACGCAACACAGTCAGACATCTGCTCACAATTAAGGGTGAAGTTGCAAATGGGAGAACAGATGGGATAAACTATGTCCAGCCATAAGTCAGTACAAATATCCCCACTTTTTGAAAGTTTGCTTTACCTCACTTCATGTTCACATTAACATCTGCTTCATAGAGAATTTTCACTTTTAAGAAAAAAAGGTGAAAAGCAAAATTAGTGTTCAGCATTTGTTTTGCAGCAACTGCTATAAAAGTAGCCAGAGTGGCCCCGCTAAGCTTCTTTTGGGAAACTCACACTGCACCTCAGCATCTGGTACCACAGCTCTGCACTGTGTCTGTGAGCATCTGTTACTTTACCTCCACTTATTTTATGCATCCAGTTAGCAATACATGTCCTAAGGTAATGGTTTCTTCACTTTACATTATTTTGACTTCTGAGGGTTTCATAGGAATGCTCTCCTTTTGATTAGTGGAGGGAAATCAGTATTTGCATACAAATCCTAAGGCCAAGTCCATTGTTGTCTCACTTTAAAGAGAAAGTACCTTTAATTGTTGGTCTGCTTCCAGAATCAGAACATTGGTCTACCAGAGACGCCATTTTTGTGAAAGAAGATAGTGTAATCTGAGAAAAACCTGAGGGGATATTTACTCTATTCTCCTTCCTCCTGGAAAGCCTTCCTGTCTCACCTGTGGAAGTACCCACCCTCCTCAAGGTTCAGCTCCAGCACCATATCCTCTGGGATGCCTTCCTGATGCTTCCCCCTCCAATGTCTCCATGCTGCTTCCACACATCGCAATGGGTGGGATTCATTCTAATCATGGTGGTCACCTGTGTATGCCAGTTCCCTCCGTTGGAGCTCCTGGAAGGTAGGAGGCATATTTCCCTCATCTCAGGAGTCTTTGGGGCAGTCAGCACAGTCTAGGACATGGGGACTGCCAGATAGTACTGTGCGTCAGAGAAGTATGGGTTTTTGGAATGACTTAGGGCAATCCCAAACTTTGCATTACACTTCTTTTTTGGTGTATGAAACAGCTTCAGCTTGCTTGACAAATATCTGCTGGAGTTAGGTACTACTGTGATCTTCCCTTTATAGAAAAAAACTGCAGCGCACAGAGAGGTAGGTAGACCAGAACACAAAACCAGAAGTAGCTCAGCTGGCATGGCTCAGTGGTCAAGTGTCAACTTATGAATCAGGAGTTCATAGTTCAATTCCTGGTCAGGGCACATGCCCTGGTTGTGGGCTCGATCCCCAGTGTGGGGTGTGAAGAAGCTGATCAATGATTCGCTCTCATCACTGATCTATCTCGCCCTCTTCCTTCCTCTTTGAAATCAATAAAATATATTAAAAAAAAAAAGAAAAAAAAAAAAAAAAGAACCAGAAGCAGGCTGTGAACTGCTGATCCTGAGCTTTCAGCCTAGGACAGTGTCCATAAATCTCATGCCTTATATCTTCTTTCAGAAAGAGACCCTGAATGACTTTAGCAGCTGCAGAGCAGGTCAAGAACTAAAATATTCCATGAAGACAAAAATTGATAGGACCAAACAGGGACTTGGGGCTTCTGATCCCCTGAAAGACTTAAGTCTCAGGTTCTGGAAGGGATGAGGTCTCTGGGAGCTTCCCGAGAGAGGAGTTGGCTCTCCAAGGGGATTCTATGTGGGAAATACTTATGACCATGTGGGCCTAGGGTGTACAGGGTATGGAACAGGGGTAAGGAATCAGAAGAAGGACTGCATGGGGTAAGCTGTGGACACTGGGAGAAAGGGTTCAGGGGCCTGAGTCTAGTCTCTCAGGGCTGACCTTGTGCAGCTCAGGTTCTCAGGAAAGGAAGGAGGTTAGGCATAGAGCAGATGCTCTGCTTAGTAATAAGGAAAGATCCCTTGACTGACATTTTGGCTGAGCTATGTCTTTGGGAACTAGGGTTTGGTGTTGCTGAAGCAGCAGTATTTTCTATCAAAACTCTATTGAACCTTAAGGTATTTTGGTTTTTTGATTACTTTGGCTTTAACTAATAAAAAAAAAATGGCTCCACTGGGTCCTGGATTGTCAGGGCTGGGAAGGTCCTTTGGGATGAGGGGAAGGGATTTCCTTAGAGCCACACAGGGAGCTAAGGGTAGAGCTGGTTCTAAAACCTGGTGTCTGTCAACCATTCCCAGTCTCCCTCCTTGCCCTGCTTCTCATAGGCACTCTCAAAATTAGGTGTCTAACTCATGCATTGCTGTGGGACATGTTATAGGACTAAAATCCTCTCTCTTTTACATTTTTAGAGGGGACAGGGATTGGGGCTTGGAAAGGTGCATGGTAGCAAAGAAGCATAGGATATTTGGGGGCAGATGAAAGATAGTTAAGGTTGAGAGAAAGAATACACACTGATCAGACCTAAGCCCAGCCAGAATTTGTAAGAGAATTTTGCCTGCCTGGTAGACATACTCATATTCTGCTAAGTCATATTTACTTTATGCCTGCACTGTGCTATGTGCTATGTATATATTAATTAATTAGATTCTTATCAAATTTTTATGAGGTAGGTAAGGCATGCCATTTTCAGAATATGGACAAAGAAACTGAGGTTAAAAGAGTTGAAGTCACCTGTCCATTGTTGTAAAACTTGTAAGTGATGAGGCTGGATTCAGCCCTGTGTTCTGATCACTCAGCTACTCTGCTTCTCAAAAGAGAGTGAAAAGGGGGCTGAGATGCCTCCATTATTGGCTAGGAATGGATGGGCTGAATGAGGCAGGTGAAGGGTGAAGGTGTCTTGCATCAGGTAATTATCCTCTTCTGTTGACTGACCATGGGCAGGTGGTGAAAAACTGAATTCAGTTCTTCATACCGGTGACTCTCTGAATCCAATCCCTGTTGCTGTAGACATAGGAATATACTCCGTAGAGGTCCTTCTTTCCACAGTCCTTGCCCCAGGATACTATGCCCACCTGGTACCACTGGTCTGTCTCTTTATCCAGGGTCACCATGGGACCTCCTGAGTCACCCGCGCAGGCATCCTTCCCCCCTAAATATAAAAAAAAAGATGCAAGTCAAAGTAATTTGTCCCCTTCCCTAGCCCCAAATCCAAAGGAGCCTCTTTCTTCCCACTGCTAACTTGTAGTTCAGAGAATTGGGCACGAGGGGGTGCAAGCAGATCATTTGCCTCAAACATGGGCTCCTGAGAGCTCAGTGATTTTAGAAAGTGCCAGTTAAGGATTCTTGTGTTTCATAGGTGAAAAGGTGAACTTGGAGAAGGGAGTAATGGAAATTTCTTAGCATTCTTCTCTCTGGCGTCATTCCTCTGGCAGAACCCTCCCTCTCATGAACACCCCCCTCCTCCCACCCCTTTCCTGTTTAGCCTACCAGACTCCCAGGTGTTTTGCCCTTCCATTCCTGGGCTCTGCACCACTTCAATGCATGAATTAGACATCAAATTATTATATACCAATCACTTGACTTACCTTCCTTGAATCCAGCACAGATCATGTCCCTGGTCACTTTCTTCTTCAGTGGGGCATAGGCCTCCTGGCAGGTGCTGTGATCTACAATTGGGACTTCAATCTGAAATACAAGGCCATCATTGGTCTCCACTCCTGGCTGAGGTATCCTTGCTGTTATGACACCCCCTACAGTTGGCTGCTCCCCAGCTGGAGGAGCTTGGAACTACCTTAGACCTGATCTCAGAAATTGCCCTATGGTGCAGGTGAAGAAATACTGAATGGAGTATCAGCAGATCCATGATCAGGTATAGTCTTAGTCATAAACTTGCTGTGTGACCTTGGGAAAGTCATTTGTCCACTTTGAGTTTCACTTTTCTCATCTGTAAACTGGTAATCATACTTGCCCAGAACATGCATTATTTCAAATATGGCACTGTATGCAAAATCTATGGTCAGTCTTCTTTCCCCCTTTCCTCCCATTATTGACTGGGGGCCTAAGTCATGTGGCTTAATCCCTGTTTTTCAGACCTCTGTGACTATGTTTTCTTATCTGAACAATAGAAGTCACAATATTTGACATACTAACCTCACAGACTATGGAGGAAAACTGAATTCAGTTCAAAGAGGAGATGGATTTGCAGATATATGATGCTTTGTAAACCATGAATGCTGTATAAATATTAGTACTGTAGGGTTACTGATGCTCACCTTGCAGCAAGCATTTACTGACGTTCTCCCTCACTACAGTATGAGCTTCTAGACACTAGGTCTGTATCTTGTCCATTTCTGTCTTATGTAACTTGGAGTATATTAGAGGGCCAATGCACAAAATTTGTGCAAGAGTAGGCTTTCCTCCCCACCCCCACCCCAGCTGCCAGCACTGGCTTCCCTCCAGCACCTGGGATTCAGGCTTTTCTTGGGCCACCAGCAGGTAGCCAGAACTTGGGCTTCCCTTGCAGCCCAGCTTCATCTGGAAGATTGTCTGCTCTAATTAGCATATTATGCTTTTATTATTATAGATTTTGCATTGAGGTGATAAATTGATACCTGAAAGTAAGGTGTTGTCATTATCATTGGCCTTGATTCAGGTTGGAGCTAAATGTTAGCATAAATGTGTGGACTAAAACAAGAAAACTTATGAATTTAGTTCAGCCAAACCAATAACTGAATGGGTCATATGGCCCCAAAATACAGATTCTGTTGACCTTTGCAGGGAAGGGACCAGAGGATATTCAGATCGCTCTTGGGCCACGGCCTTCCCACATAAGTAGGGAGAGGAAATAAGGGCAGGGAAGTTGTGAGAAAACTGTTAAGTGCCTGACTGGCCTTTATTTATTGTTTAGATATTACTGCCTCTGGGAAGTCCTTCTGAGCCCCTAAGACAAGGTCATATCTCCCATTATACATTCAGGAGCATTCCACATTTCTCCAGCATCACAATTATAACATTGGTAACTACTGTCTGTATTTCCCACTTGACTATAAGCCCAAAGAGTCCTGGAACCAGATCTGTCCTTTTATTCCTCAGCATACTTAGTAGCTAGTACAATGTCTAGTACATGGGAGGCACCAAATAATAACCTGGGATTTAATAAATGAAGAGTGAATGGCTGTTGCAAATTTGAAAATTTAAAGTACTTAAAATAACGTGTGTTGAAGGATTTAGAAACCAGCTGTGGCAGTCATAGAACCCAACAATATCAGAGCCAAGCAGCTTTTGGAGGACATCAAGTGTTGTCCCTGACTTTGCAGCTTGAGATACTAAACTATAGTCCACAGAGGAAAATTACTTTTTTAAGTTCACCCAGCAAGTTAGCAGGAGTTAGGACTAGGAGCCATGGTTTCTTACATCTAGTTTAGTGTTCTTTTATGTAATGACTAGAGGCCCAGTGCACAAAATTTGTGCATGAGAGGAGGGGTTCCTCAACCCTGCACCTTCTTGCAATCTGGGACCACTGGCTCCTAACCACTCGCTTGCCTGCCTGATCACCCTTAACCACTCTGCCTGCCTGCCTCATCGCCCCTAACCACTCAGCTGCTTGCCTGATCACCCCTAGCCACTCTGCCAGCCTGCCTGATTGCCCCTAATTGTCTCTGGCTTGGCCCCCACTGCAGTGGCTTCATCTGGAAGGACGTCCAGAATGATGTCTGGAAGGTTGTTCAGCTATCCTATCTAATTAGCATATTATGCTTTTATTATTATCAGTGTGAATGTGAAATTCTAAATGCAATAGTTAAGTTCATTATTGCAAGGACTGCAGCTCTCAAGAGCTTATTCGTTGGCTCATTCTTGTTTAATCTGCAATGTGAGTCTTTATTCTGTACAGATGGACCATCCTTTTGGGTGTCCAAGCCTGCTATTTTCTGCAAAAATTTCAATAAGCTGAGTCTTTAATATGCTATAGAAACAGTCAACAATGTTTAGAGACTAGAGATCCATGACATGCAGAACAAACAGATCAAGCTTGATGGGAGTCAAAGTGTTAATGAACACTGAGGTGTGTGCTCACCTCTGGTATCTTTCTCAACCACTCCCTGCTCCAGCCTCCAAGTCCCTAAGGGGAAACATGGAGCAGGAAGGTCTCATGCTGAGCAGGGGTGTTACTCTCTGTAGGGCATAAGTTAAACTTTACCTCCATCAGGGTCTCTGGTAACCTTTGCAAGAACTGCTTCCCCCAGCCACTGACGATGACCATAGTCCCTGGAGGAGAGAAGACACAGTAGGAGAAGAGAGACTGTTTGTGGGCTTTTTAGAAGATTGTATCACCCTCTGCTTGAGGAGGAAGGGTTGAATTTGACCCCTCAGAGAAAGCCAGCTTGGTGAGGAGGGAGACTGCTGGGTTGGAGGTAATCTGCAACAGAGGTCTAGGCATTTGTTTCTATGAATCATTAGCTGATTTGCTTAGTTGTCTATTCTCTTCCACTCCCAAGTAGCATGGAACCTAGGCTCCATGACAACAGTCATCTCATCTGTCTTGTTCACTGCTGTATCCGTATGCCTACAACAGTACTGGCACATAGTAGGTGCTCAATCAGTAACTGTGGAAAAAATAAAAAGTCCAGCTTAGCCCTAACCAGTTTGGCTCAGTGGCTAGAGCATCGACCTGCAGATTGAAGAGTCTCAGGTTCAATTCTGGTCAAGGGCATGTACCTTGGTTGCAGGCACATCCCCAGTAGGAGGCAACTGATCGATGTTTCTCTCTCATCGATGTTTCTAGCTCTCTATCCCTCTCCCTTCCCCTCTGTAAAATATTCAATAAAATGTATTAAAAAGAAAAAAAAAAAGAAAAACCTGGATTCCAGGCCCCAGATCTGCTTCTTACAAGCTGGACCTTGAGTAAGTCACATCACCTGGATGACCCTCAGTTTTCTCATTTGAAAAATGGGACTATAATACCACCTCAGAATACTTTTATAAGTGGTAAATAAGTTAATGAACATAAAGCAACTATATATGGTAGGCATGCCTTTCACGTTGGCTTACTCTACCTAATACTTCTCAAATTTTATTCAGCCATTTTTTTTTATAACTTCTTTGAACTGAAGGAGTTTAGCTGTAACATGGCACCCCTGAACTTCTAACAGAATAAAAGAGAAGCTAACTGCCCTGGTGGGACTCTCTCTCTGTGTTGGATACATTTGAATATAGTATTTCATTTAAATATAATGACCATCCCCATGGGGTATTATCCTCAGTGCAGAGGCAAGGGACTTGAGGCTCAGCAACTTCCTCAAGGTCAACCAGTTAGGAAATGTAGCATGGGGAGCGAGTCTATGCTGTGATAAATTTATTGTCCCTCAGTTCCAAACTTACCCTTCTATACTCTGTTTTGTTACCCTACAGATGAATTGGCACTTCTGCTTTTTCAGGGGGATCCTGAAAATAGGGGGCACTTCCAGGAAGGCTTGCCATTACTATTGACATCCTGCTTCCCCCCAACAGTGGTTTCTTAACCCAGCGGTGATGTTTGGTTCCAGTTGTTTCCCTAATGGGGCTTCTTCCACAGGAGTCAGAGTTCTTGCTCCAAGGGTCCCTGTCCAGGCTTCTAGGTTCTATAACTCCAACCTTTTCCCTTTGTCCCTCCAGCCCCAGGAGCAATAGTTTCTTCCTGCAAGTACTACCTCTATTATCTCAGCATTCCCCCATTACTACTCTAGTCCTCCAGGACCCTATGTTAGATTCTTTCTGTAACAATAACTAGTCTAGTTTCTGTTTTCCCATCTGGACTCTGACTGATATAGTACTTCCTATTAACTATGTGCCACCTTGGAACCAGCCTGACAGTTGTTTAAGGGAAGGCAGCTGAGAAATCATGCAGACATCATCAGCTGGCTTTGTTGGCATCAGAGCCTCACCAACACTGGAGAAGAAGTCTCTTTGGAGGCACCTGCTGCTCTGCAGAGATGGGACCAAGGGTGGGAAGAGGTACCTTCCTCCGGGGTACTCTCTGGGAGACAGATGGGCATCACAAAGTCATTCAGCACCGGGCCTGTTGACAGCTCCACCAGAGCCACGTCGTTCTCAAATGTGTTGGGGTCATACTGGGGATGGAGAAAGATGCGTTTGACCTCGAGATGCTGTTCAGTCTCGTCTGACCGCTGTCTCCAATGTTTACCTGGTCAAGAAGAAGGCACATGAGGCATGGAGGCACAGAGAATAAGGTCACACTTTACTCCCTGTCAGCCCTCCGTCTCATCCAGTCCACGTTTCCAACCTTAACTCTTTTATTCACCTTTCCTCAGCAATCCTGTCCTACCTGCTCTTCCCCATGAATTCTCATGGACTTCCACTTCTGTCTTTCTTCATGGGCTGATCTCATTGCTTTATAATACCCATTCCAAATTTCATCACCACATGTTCAAATTAATAAACACCCTTCTGGATCATGTGCTGCCTCCTCCATGACGCCTCTCCAATTCTTGAGTTTGATTTTTTAGTTAGAAGTCTTCTTCCTATGAATTCCCGTGACATTTTATCTGTTTTTCTCCTATAGAACTTATTGCTTTTTCTCTTGTACTAGAAGTCTCCATGCTTATATTTTATTCTTTTATTAGACTGTAAGCTCCTTATGGGCAGGACCCAGGTCTTAATTATGCTGTGTCCTTAGATCTTGGCATAGTGTCAGCAGGGAAGTAAATTGAACCAGCTGGTGGTATTGGGGATGGAATTGTATGTGAATGACTCATGAAATCACAAGACAGGCCATGACTTGAAAGCATGGATTCATAGAAGCCTGAGTGTCTTTATTTTTTTTTTATTTATTTATTTATTTATTTATTTATTTATTTATTTATTTCTGAGTGTCTATAGAATTTATCTAGATGGGCTCTTTATTCCCCATTATAAAACTGAGGCCTAGACTTCAATGACTTGCTCATGGTCCCTGTATCTTATTGCCTTGAGCTTAGACTCAGGTCCCTGGACTCGTCTCAGCTGGTTCTTCATCTTAAGGGTCTTGCCCTGATGAATGATTGTGTGAACACAATTGGCTTCAGGAATCATCTTGCTCCTCACTCACCTTGCTCCTTACTCACCCATGATGATTTTGAAGTGAGAAAGGCTGAGCAGGTCAGAGTCGTGGAGGATTGGGTCCTCTGGATCGAGCGAATGGTGGAGGCAGTGAGCCGCCGTCAAAATCCAGTTGGAGCCTAACAACAGAATTGTGTACACACATTGCCCTGGACTGCCCTGACCTGTCTTGAGCCTTCAGATTATTCTAAGGCTGTGGTTGGCAAACTCATTAGTCAACAGAGCCAAATAGCAACAGTACAACAATTAAATTTCTTTTGAGAGCGGAAAACCAACTTCTGCGCATGGGCCACAAAGTTTCGATCACACTGTACATGCACGCCTGCATGTGGTGGTATTTTGTGGAAGAGCCACACTCAAGGGGCCAAAGAGCCGCATGTGGATTACAAGCCAAAGTTTGCCTACCACTTCTCTAGGAAACCCCTCACCATTGCATTTCAAAACCTCAAGTCAGACACTCATATTCTAATCTGAAGATGAGGAGTTGAATCTGTGGTTTTATCTGTCTATTCCAACCAAAGCTAAGGCAGACCATCTTTAACAGGGTTTCAGTACCCCCTTAAACCCATAAAGTTTGTGAGCTCCAGACAGGCCAAAGTGGGTCCACAAAAAGCCTTGTGCTCACTGGCTACTCCTATTGCCTGTGGTCTCTGGCCCAGCAACAACAGCCCCATCTGGAAATGGCTTATAAATGCAAATTCTCAGGACATCACCTCAGACCTATTGAAACAGAATCTGCTTTCAGTAGGGAAATCTGGGAATGTTAACAAGATCCTCGAGTAATTCCTAGGCACACTGAGGTTGTAAAAGCACTGACATATCATGCTGCTTCCCAACTGTGGATATGCATTAGAACTACCTGGGGAATTAAAAAAAAATAATAATAATACAGGGGCCTGAAGCCAGACCAGCTAAATTATGAGAGTATGGCCCAGGCACAAATATGTTTTAAATTCCCCAGATGATTCTACTGTCCCCACTGCTCTGATCCTAACCTCTCATTTTATATATATGGATCCTGAGGTCTGGAGGAAAGTAGGAATCTATAGGGTCATTCAGAAGGTTAGTGACAGCACAGGGCCAGACCTTGGGTCTCCTGACCATCAGCTTAAAACATGTCTTTTCCCCTCAGTGGACTGGTTCCTGCCCTTTGTTTAATATAGGGTCAGGCTTTGGCTCATTCTTTAGGTGAAACAGATGATAAATTCTTAAGTAACTAAAACTAGAGGAATAACCAGAATGAGCCAAACAGAAAGAAAAGGCACCAGGTTTTGGGGTGTGGATATCAGGTCAGAGTTCAGAATTCCAAGTAAAGGTACAGTTTTGGAGCAGGTTCCAGGCTCTGCTTGGCCCTCTCAGAAGCAGCTATGTGCTCTGGCTCCTGGGTTCTAAATAGAGCTCAATGCAAGCCACTCTCTTTGTCTGGAGGAATTTTTGAGCTTTGTCCACAGCCGGGGACTATTGACCAAATTTCCCATGTGGATAAAATGGGATGAGAAAGCCATCTCAGAGCAAGGCTCTGGAGCATTTAAATGAACCCAAGGGTGTGCAATGGGAAGTCCAGAGATATGGCATTGCCTCCCAGCTTTGTAAATACTCTTGGAGTCCCCAAGCCATCGAAATGGTGGTCTGTCCTTCCTTCCTTCCTTCCTTCCTTCCTTCCTTCCTTCCTTCCTTCCTTCCTTCCTTCCTTCCTTCCTTCCTTCCTTCCTTTCTTCCTTCCTTCCTTCTTTCCTTCCTTCCTTCCTCTGTCCCTCAGCCTCTTTCCCACATTCCCTCCCACCCTGCACTCCCTCTACAAACTGAATACCAGGAGGAGGATAGAAATTCTAGATTAGGAGAGCTGTGCAGGGTGGAGCATGGGAGAACTCATAGCATGGTCAAGGATAAAGAAGCAGACTTCTAACACCTTCAAAACATGACATGGAATAAACATGCAGTAGATACAAATAAGCATTGGACATGATTGAACTTAAAATCTCAATTAAATTTTAAGAGTTAAAATTTAATTCTTAAAACTGTGGGCACATAATCCATCTCTCACATTCTAACAAAACCAGCAATGTATGATGAAGTGGTCTCATGCCTCCACTCTCCCCACTGCTCCTCACCATTGCTCTGCTTCTTTTTTGACCCTTCCTTTACTTCTGGTTCCTCTCTGCTTTTCTGTCTTTCCTGATTTCTCTTTTCTCTGGGCTATCTGTGCTCTACCAGCCTCTCTTCCTCTTGTCATATTTGTTTACTTTTATTTTCTCCTTTATCTCTCTCCAGTCCCTCTCTCTTATTTTCCAGGTCTCTCTCATGTTCTCTATCTTTCTGTCCTCTCTTTGTCCTTCTAGCTCTGTCTCTCTGTCCCTCTCCCTCCTTTTATCCCTCGGTCCTTTCCCGTGCCCATTTCTCATAGGGCTGGCTGCCCTTGTTATCTGTAATTACTCTCTGTGCCTTTTTGGGAGGCTTAATGGGGTGGGAACACTCACCTTTGTGTTTGTGGGAATGTAAGGATCAATTTCTTGAAGAGGAGGGATAACACCTGATTGCTATTTCACATATTCCAGGGTGTCTGACTGTAGTTCTGGTCCATGTCTGGTACCTGGGGGGGATCCTGGTGGGGAGCTTTTCTCACCTGACTGAACCCTGGAGGAAGTAGGTCAGTGAGAAGCTAGGTCAGCAGCCCCAGGAGCTGTGTAGACAGATGTGAACCCATCCAGACCTTCTTCCTTTGTGATGGGATCAATCCAGGCATTGGCTGCAGACTCCATAGTGCTATTTTCTTAGGATGTCAGAACTGGAATGGACCTTAGGTCATCTGGACTCAATTGCAGCAGGAAGGTCTGTCAACCTTTCCTGTCCTGCTCTTGCTCCTACTCCCACCACACTTAATCCATTACAAAAGCCTGATGATTCTATTTCCCAATGCTTTTGAATCTCTCTCGTTGCCATCACTCACCCCCTGTCCTCATTCTAAAGCTAATTACTTCCCTCTTGACTATTGTAATAGCTACCTCACTGAGCCCTGACCTCATGAGTCACCCTCCTTTTCAATACACATTATCTTGGGAGAACTTTCCAGAACATGCTTAAAGTCTGTAATAGTGTTCAGAATAAAATAGAAATTCCTAAGTAGGGCATTCAAGGCCTTTGTAAGTAAGTTCCCTCACTTCTCCAGGGTGAATTTCCTGGTTTTCCCTGCTTCCATAGCTTTGGCACACCCTGCCTTTGAGCCATGTCTTATAACTCATGATTGAGGGGCTCTCTGATCCTTCCAAGTGCCAGAGACTGACTAGGACTCAGTAGGTGTTTGTTGACTAAAGGAACCAGTTATAATAGAACACATATCTCTTGGCCTCAGCTAAGGGCCCTTTCTACAACACTATACTTTTTGGCCCTGCTACTGGTGTACACAGTGGTTCTCAATGAAGAAATGTTGATCAACCTACCTTTGCTCCCACACTGGCTCATAACTCTGGGTTCCCCACCCTTTCCACCTTCTCCTTACCTAGAAGGGATCCTCCACAGAAGGGCTGCCCATTCAGGTGTGACAGCATGGCAATCCAGGGGGTGGTTCCCTTGTCGGCGGGGCGCCCATTGAAGATCCTGGCTATCAGATTCCGGGAGAACTTGGGGAGCCCACACACTGCGGCAGCCAAAGGAGAGGGAACATGTCACATTCTTGGCTCCATCCTGCCTTTTTCCAGAACTACCAGCTCATTACTCTCTGTTAGAAACACCTGTTAATTTTTGATCTCCAAGCATCTATCGCCCCATTCAGGGACAACATGCCAATTTTCCTCTGGGATCCACTCTTTCCCTATTCCTAGTCCATATATCTTGAGTTGGAATGACTTTATCTCTGGTTTTAGAGGTAGGAATGTGATCCAGACCTGACTAATTCATGCCTCTCATCCTCTGGTTACAGAAATAGCTCTGAGGTGGGAATATAACCTTGGCTTGGCCAATGAAAGCCTGACTTGGGGGATTAGCATGAGAGGGAGAGAGAGAGAAAGAGAGAGAGAGAGAGAAAGAGAGAGAGAGAGAGAGAGAGAGAGAGAGAGAGAGAGAGAGAGAGATATCTTTCTCTGCTAAACTACTGACTATAAGCCCAGATCTTCCAAAGATCACTTCATGGAGATTCTGCTGATAATAATGTTACTAGCAGAGAAAAGTGGAACTAGAAGATGAGGAGTGAAGCCATACCTGAAGCCTTTTTGTATAGACTTCAATTATATAGTCTATATTTCTCTTTTCACTAAGCTAACCTCCTCTCCTATTCCCAGAAGAGATTCAAAGCCCATTGGGTGGGAAGTGCCCTAACCATCCCTCACTCCATCTGCTTCCTTTGTAAACTTTCTTGTCTCCAAAATTAATTCTGGGCTTTGGATCTCCTCACTTCCAAACTCTTATCCCTTTTCTGTATTTTGCAGCCCTCCTTTATCTATGCCTCCAAAACAGGGTCAGGCCTTCTCATCCTAAAATCAAATTTCTACCCTTTCTGCGTCCCATTCATTTAAAAGTTTCTCCTATCCCTTCCTTCCATAACCAAGCTTCTGGGGAGAAGAGGTGACAGTTTTCACATCCTTCCTTCTCCTTTGAGGTGAATTTGGAAGAAGCTCCATGTCACAGTGTGCTCTCCACATAACCTTCATGACCCCTCAGTGTCTCAATATTTTACAACACACACAGTCCAAATATCTAGAGGAAAGTAAAAATCTGAAAGATAATAGAACACAGGACATGATAATCCTTGAAATCAGCTACATATAAAGTTTTACACATAGTTTAGGATTGTTTCAGTTCCCAGTGATGTAGAAAGCATGACATTGTCATTATAATACAAACTCCAAACCAAGGCATATCATGACTGCACCCATAGCCAGCCCTCACTGACAGGCTAGGTTGTGCTACCCCCATACCCACATCAGCACTCTTTCTATGCCTAGACACTGAGCCCTGCTGAACACACTGCTTAAATATTTTAAAATTCCCTGCCCTCACATCTGTGTTATCATAGCCCTAGGGTTGGTGGATTTTCACCATTTCCCTCCAGAATGTTTGCAGTAGCTTTCCAACCTGTTTTTGTAGCTCAGCAACTCCCTGCCACAAGCCACTTTCCACACTATGCTGCCCACCTTTAGACTAACTGATTGAGAAATTCCCAGGGGGACCCAGGAATCTGAATTTCTAACAGGCATCCCAGGTGACTATGATATACCCTAAAGTACAGAGTCACTTATTTCAGGACAGAGTACAAACATAAATGGCTTTCAAGACTCTTTCCACTCTCCCTTAATCCCCACTGCTCTCAATCTATTTATGCACCCTTTCCTGCTTGATCTTTGTCCATTCTGCCCGTGCTTTCATCTCCCAGAACAACTCTCTGCAAAGGTCCTTCAGACCCTCTTAAGTTGTATGGATTTCTTGTTCTTTTTAAGTTCCCATAATACTGCAATCTACACTTCTCTTATGATACTTAACTCCTCTTGCCTATGTGAGACATAGAAGCACAGGACCTTGCCTTGCATGCTAGTTTGAGCTCTTTGAAGTCAAGGACTTAAAATAGCAGGCAATGCATTGAAGGAATGTACAGCCTCTGAGAGGACACATTTTCTTGGATGATATCTAGGTGACAAACTTTGTACCTTTTCTGTAATAGAAGAGATTTTGGCTTTATGAGGGGCAAGTTTCTTTTTAAAGAGTTACAAACAAACAAATATCAACAATAATCAAACCCCCCAAACGAAGGCTATTGATTATCCACAGAGATTTTATTTCCACTTTAGATCTCTGACAGGAGACACGGAGTGCAGAGGCACCTTACAGAGTGGTGAGTTTGTGATATAAGATATACAATATATAGCATCCTCTACATGCAGCGTTCATAGGCACAGGAGTGTGGTTTCATGAACCCATTAGAAAAGTGGACACTTCCCAACTGTTCTCTTGGAAGTCCCTCTCAGGGGCTTCTCTGGCCATCTGTCTCTGGTGGAAAATCCCAGGAAGACTGTCAGTCCTGTAAAGGCCATGGAGAGGCTGCTGGCAATTGGAAGCACTGAGTGCTGGAGCTAGAAGGACCGTGAGGGAGATCCAATGCCTTCCTTTTATAGATGGGGAAAATGAGTCCCAAAAGAAAAAGTGATTTGTCAGAAGTTATACAGCCAGTGGGGGACAGAGCTGGGGCTGGAACTTTGGACTCTTGGATCTCCGTCTCATTTCACTGCCTTTCATAGGTAAGTCTCTGCTGCCCTTTACTCTGGCTCCTGGAAACTGGAGGAGTACATGCCTCTGAACATCCATGCTGGTGGGTTCTCTGCAGAGCTCAGATCATGGGCATGCTGGGCAGCCTGATAAGATGAGGTCACTCCTAATGTCCTTAGCTTACCCTTCTTTCGTTTTCCTGCTCAGAAGCATAGCAAGGCACAGCATGGGCCTTCTTTTCTTCCAGATGAGTCTCCATGCCTAGGGCTGGGGCTCAGGCAACCTTTTCAGATGAAACATTCCAAGGCTGGCAAGTTGCTTTATGCTTGTCTGGAGTACCTCATGCAGTCAGCTGGTATTTGAGGGTAGACATGTGGTCCAAAATGACATGTTCTGAGTTAAGAATAGGAATTTAAAAGGATTGGAGAGCCTTCCACTGCTTTTCTCTTTTCCAAGTCATCCAGATATCCCCAGCTTTCTTTTTGTTCCTTTAAGTCCCTTTAACAGATGCCATAAAGACTAAGGCTTGGACTCCAAGAAGCTTTTGGGAGAGAAATCCCAGATAAGAGTACTGCAGGGATTTCACTAGGAGAGCAGGGCCTTAGAGTATAATCTCCATCTTCCCAAACCTGAATGGGTTTCTCCTAGAGGAGGAACTAGACTTGTCTGTGCCCAGAGGATAGAGCTAGGAAAATATATGCACTTGGAGTTCATTTCAATGTAAGAAAACATTTTCTAACAATCAGGTCCAGTTATAGCAACCATGGATTTGATAAGTGAATAGGAGTGAATAAGGCCACTGGGATAAAGCGGGCCTGGAGAGTAGTGCTAGGACTGGCCCAGACTTCCAGCTCTTTTGTATTGCTGAGGACAGTGAGGCCTGGAGAGGGGAAGGAATTTGCTCAGGACCATGGGCCCAGGTTTTTTTGTGTAGAGACTCTCCTCTATACCACTCCGCTGCCTCTCAGGGTCCTGGGGCTTCCTCAGAGGATGGGAGCAGCATGTTCCATTCCATTTGGTCTAGTGAGTAACATGGAGGGTACTGTCAGAAGTGTGGAGTCAGCCTCGCTTGGGCTGAGGCAGGGCGGGTAGGCCCTGAGGAGGCCTGTCAGCTTCACCGTTCCACCTGGAGCTCCCCGAGGCCTTGAGGAGAGCCCATCTGTTTCCACACCCAGTCCACATAGTTGGAGACCTTTGTGTAGACCCCATAGACCTGCTTGCTGCCACATTCTTCAGGGCCTCCCCAGGACACTAGGCCTTGGGCCACCCAAGTCTGGCTGAAGTCATCAAGGATGACAAAGGCCCCACCACTGTCTCCAAGGCATGTGTCCTTGCCACCCTCATAGTAGCCGGCACAGAACATGTTCTCCGTGACACTATAGTTGCCCAAGCGGGACTCATAGCTGGTTTTGCACTCTGCGTGTGGCACCACGGGTAACTTGACATACTGCAAGACATCTGACAAGGTCCGAGTGCCACTGCTGATGATCTCATCCACTGTCACATTAGGATTGGAGATGCCCCAGCCCGCCACCAGGCCTAGCATGTGGGGCACAGGGCCTTTGGGCTCTGGTCTTGGCAGGCAGATGGGCATGACGTGGGGTCCCAGTGGCACAGGTTCCTGCAGTTGTACTAAAGCTATGTCGTGGTTGTAGTTCTGGATGTTGAAGTCTGGGTGGAGCACCACTCGGGCAGCTGAGCTGTTGACAGCCCCTGATTTGTCCCTCATATCGTGCAGGCCCAGGTAGACAGTGATGTGCTCCTTGGAGACTGGTGTCACTGTGTTGTCTCTGCGTTGGGAGCGCAGCACATGGGCTGCTGTGAGGATCCAGGACTCAGAGAGCAAGGCCCCACTCCCAAACCACTTGTCATTTGGCACTCTTGAGGTGTCCTCCACCACTATCAGGGCCTGCCATGGGAAAAGGCCAGGCTCGGCATTCCGGCCCCCGATGATTCTCTTGACCAGGTTTGGCAGGGTGCGGGAGGGCTGACCACACACTGTAAGAAGGAGGGAGTGGGGACAAGAGACACACCGTGAAAAGGTCATCGTGTGAAAAGAGACACTAAGAGAAATTCATACCTCGCCCACTGTAGATTTTGCCACCACAGGACCCTACTCTACAACATGGGCCACACTAGCCTAGAAGATCTCTCTGCTGGGTTATGTTTGCCTAAATTTTTCTAGCCTGGCTGAGCTATAGTCTGGACCTTGTGTAATCAGGGCCATCTATGGATCAGACCATTTCATGCATGGACCATCAATCATATTGAACCATTTCTAGCCAGGATCACTTTTGGGCTGGACCATCTTGAGCCCGGCCAGTCTCCAATATGATCAACAACCCCCCCCCCCTCCTTTTTTTCCCTTTCTTTCTTTTTTTTTTTTCTCTAGAAAGGCATCTCATATTCCAGAAGTAGTCCATACTGTGGGCACTTATAAAACTTCTGAAAACCACAGGTCATGGGCTTTGAGAGATGAAAGAAACTAAAATAAGGTCTAGTAAGTCACAAGAAACACTGGAGTAGGAGCCAACACACCTGAGGCCTTGACCTGAATTTTCTCTCCTATGTCCTGTATGACTTTGGCTAGTAAATTGCCCTCTCTAGATTTTAATTTTTGATCTGCTAAATGAGGCAGTTTAAAATGATCTCCAAGGATCTTTTAAATCCCAAATTCCTTTAATTTTTATTTTGTTTGTCCTGGTCACCCCATTTTATAGGTAAGTAAAACTCTCCAGCCGAAACCGGTTTGGCTCAGCAGTAGAGCGTCGGTCTGTGGACTGAAAGGTCCCAGGTTCGATTCCGGTCAAGGGCATGTACGTTGGTTGCAGGCACATCCCCTGTAGGGGGTGTGCAAGAGGCAGCTGGTCGATGTTTCTCTCTCATCGACGTTTCTAGCTCTCTATCTCTCTCCCTTCTTCTCTGTGAAAAATCAATAAAATATATTAAAAAACAAAACAAAACAAAACAAAAAAACTCTCCAGATATTAAGTGACTATCCAAGGTCACATGGCTATTAAGTAGTAAAGGCTTAACTAGATTCTACAACCAATGTCTTGTCCTGTATTCCACAATGCCTCATTACATGTACAGATCATGTGATGGGCCCTCTAACCTTTTCTTCTCTAGCATAAAAGACTCAAGCTGAAAATTGATGCCCCGGGCAAGTAAGGATAGAAAAAGGTGGCATAATCTACAAGCAATGATGCATGGTCTCTGTTCTGAGCCACCCATCATTGCACCTAGGAACTCTGTATACCTTCAGTGGAAGAAGAAAGGTCTGATCAAAGGTTGTTCCTCTGAGTTGTACCCCGAGCATGCACATGCACCACCAGCCTCCTACAGCCAAACACCTTTGGCTCATGAGCAGAGGGTCTTCAGGATCATGCCCCGCTGGCTAAGAACAAGTTCACATGAACCCTTTCAAGCATGATTCTTAGGCCTGGGAGGTAAGTCTGGTGGGAGCATGGGCCTCTTCTTGGTTGCAAATGGCCAGGCTACACTCCTTGGTCCTAGAAACTAGCAACAAAGACTAAAGAGCATTTGAGTATTCTTGGCACCTTTGGGCAGGCATTTAGAAACCTAATGCTTTTCAGATGCGCTTCTTCCTGTTGCCAAATGCTTCTATTTGTTCTTGAGTTACCCTGTTGTTCACCCCAGGCTACTCTCTGTGGTCTGGCCTTTCACAGTTGAAGGCCAGATTCCCAATTGCAAGCAGCAGCCTACAAGGTGACAGCTCAAAGCAGGTCTGTAATGAGTCCTGCACAATGACTCATCTACTGCCTAAAGGCCCTCATCTGGTAAAAGACATGCCTGTGGCTTAGTCCATGATTATAACAAAACCAATGCTGGAAAAAATGGCGCTTTTTTTCCAACCAAGGTGTTAATGGCATAACACAAGTCCTAAAATGTCAGAGTTGGGGTAGCTTGGAAAACAGCTAATTTGCAGATGGAGAAACTAAGGTTCAGAAAAGGCAAGTGACATATTCAAAGTCAGAGCCATTTCTTATGACTCTAACTTCATTTTCTCCACAAAGACTGTTTTTCTTCTTGTTATGTTTTTTTGCTTTAAGAGCTGGATAATGCAACAAGCCATTGACAAGGCTCATGGTACAGGGTCATTCTTTCAACTGACACCATTCTACATCTAGTCCTTCCTTAGAGAAAGGAATCTTCTTGAAATATTATAGTCTTGCCTTAGCTGGTTTGGCTCAGGGGACAGAATGTTGGCCTGTGGGCTGAAGGATTCCAGGTTCTATTCTGGTCAAGGGCACATGCGTGGGTTGTGGACTCAATCCCCAGGAGAGATGAAGAAGGCAGCGTTCAATGATTCTTTCTCATCATTGGTGATGCTCTCTTTCTCTCTCCCTTCTCTAAACTCAATAAAAATATATTAAAAAAAGAAAAAAAATACTATAGCCTCAGCTCTACTGCAGCCAGAATTGAGCCTTAGAAGACTGGAGGAACTGAGGGAGTGCTTTCAAAACAAAAATGTGATATTGGGTTCATGAGGATGGCATAAACTATAATCAGAATCAAGAGTGTTCAGAGTGCTATAGTGACATCAAAAGTTTTGGGTTCACCTTCCAGTTCTGCCCCTTACTTTTTGTGAGTAGTTTTGGATAAACCATGCTGCACTGATTCTTAGTTTTATCATGTGTACAGTAAGGGGAAAATAATATTTGCTTAGCAGTTTTTGTGAGAAGGTGGATATTATGACACTTGGTGAAATCGTTTTTCTTTGTTCTGGCTTGTTTCTGGGTTCAATCTCAGTGTTTTAGGAGGAGAGAATTTATAAATCTTTAGCCTGTTCCAATGATACACCATGGTTCTGCTCAACATCAAGTGTTAAAATAATTTTATGACTCATTGTATCCAATGCTTTGTATAAATATACAGGATGATGACCATAAAAGTTATAGAATGTAATGGATCACATGGGTTTGCTCCTTCACTTCTGAGATATGGAATCCTACTCCCAGAGATATTACTTACCAAAGATTACAATTAGGAAATGACAATACCAGAACCAGGATTCAAGTCCCTGATTCCCAGCACCAGGCCTCTTCTCCTTCCAGATGTCATAACATGGCTGCCCAGGATCTACCTGCAGTGCTATTTTCTTTGGTCCACATAGTATTTTTAGCAAAGTAGAGATGTGAACTTCCAGTTTGTCACAGCTCTACCATTTCCCAACTTCTCTTAGACTTCACCAACAGTATAGTCTTGGGTGTCTTTCTGACTAAGCCTACGCAAGTTTATGGGGATTAGTAGAGTATAAATGAGTTGACCTTTCCCCCTTTTTTTACTTCCTCAAGAATCCTTTCTAAGCATAAAACCCTAAGTGAAGTCTTCCTAACCAGCTCTCACTCCTCTACTCCCAGACAACCACAGGCACTGACTTCCTTCTTCTCTGGGATCTCATAGCTCCTCAGTGTTGGCCAAAACTGATTCCCAAATTCTGACACTTTCTTCAATTCTTAAGGCTAATGTAGACAACTCTGTAGCTTTTCCATTTTAATGTCTATTCTAACATCTAAAAGCCTACTGAGTGATATTGAGGATTACTAAAGTGTAAATAACACTATCTCCATCAAATAACAACACTACCTCCATCTCTCTAACAGTCTGGTTCAGTAAAATACAGATGCTACACACCACTTCACCACACTCTGAAACTCCTACTGCTGGAGGAATGTGCAGACAGAATCAGGACTGCTCCTCAGTGCTGTCTTGAATGGTTTTGTCTTTCAATTACTGCTATCCTTGCTTTTTTTAAAGCATAAATTTCTAATGTGAATATTAAATATAATTTTAATTTAATGTGAACATTAAATATAATTTTAATTGTTTAAATGTGGGTTATTTATTTAACCCTACATTTAGGGCTATACTTTTCTACTAAATTGATTGCAATATATTAGTATATATATATGCAACATGATTGTGATGCAAACCATCTATACTTTTAATGCTAACACAAGTATCCATAAAATATACCCTAAATCCATAGCTGCACATTGACTCCCTATTACTACAGTTAAAAAAAAAAAATTTAAAATGGTTCAGTAGGTGAGCTACAGGGAAGCAGCAGTCAGCAAGACTTGAACACATTGATCTTTGAAATAACTTACTCTATCCTATAGTTATTTGTCTGATATTGTTTGTTTCTTCTCCAACATAGTGAGTGATTGAAGATGGGGTGTCCACTTTCTTGATTTTCCTGACACATATACACTAAATAGGCTAAAAAACTTGGTGTGAAGGGAGCAAAACTACAGAGAAAAGAAACAGAAAGGCTCCTGGGCTGATAGAACATGTGAATTTAGAAATATAGAGGCTAATTAGTTTGAGAAGGTGAGGCTGCGTTTATCTGACCTTTGAACCTCTGAAGGTATCTTAAAAAGCAATCAAAGCATCATGCCCTTAGCTTTCCCCTCCATGAACACCCAGAATTCCTGTGGCCATAAGGCCTTGAATAGGAGACTTAGGGTGAGGTACCTGGAAGACAGGTGGGCTGGCTTCTCCCCAGTACTTCATTCATCCAGACTCCTTGGGCAGAACAGGTGTATATACCTGGGAGAGTGAAAAAAGATTGAAAAAAGGGAAGGAAATGGTCAATTTAAAGCACATGGAAAATAAATCTTGGTTCTTAATTCCTCTACTGTGGATCATTTGGAGTCTTCCAAATTGTCTTTCTGATGCCATTCCCTCTGAGCCAATCCACTCTGCAACCTGAGGCTCCTTTCTAAAATGAGGATCTCACCATGTCCCTCCTCTGCTCAATATTACCAATAGCTCCTCATTGCCCTAAAAAATCAAATACCACGTGCTTCAGCATGGTGTCCAAGGCTCTGTGCAATCTGACTCCTGCCTGTCTGGGACTGCTCCCTCCCCGCCCAGCTCTGCCTAGCTCCTGGCAGGCACTTATTATTAGTCATACCGGCCTTGGTTCACACAGTGCTCTTTGGCACTTTCTCTTCCCTTCCTTTTCCACTTAACAAACGCTTTAATGAAGCACACCTATGTCTACCATCTCATCTGCATTTTACAGTAGCTCTGTGAGCTCCATCACTGCTCCCTTTTTAAAGTGAGAACTTGGAGGCTCTAAGAAATTAGGAGAATTTTCTTAGTGCTTACCCTAACCTTAACCCCAAGTTTGGCAGAGGCAGAACTGATCAGTCCCATGTCCCTGAGGATTCTTCCTCTGTGGGAGGCTTTGAATGTAGATGTGTGGATTACCATGTGGCCTACCTCTTGGCATGCAGGCCTGAGCCAGGGAGAGGCATGTCTCCAAATGTTTTTCATTCCCAATCCTGCCAAACTGTGGCCAACTGATTGACTGTTTCAGCCCCCAACATAACCCAAAGTGTGTGTGAGGTGGAAGGGGGCTGGTTTAGCAAGCAGGGCTCACCTGTGATATTGTTGTACATCTTATAGTAGGGCTGCTGGCAGGAGTATCTGATCTCAGATTTGTATGTGGTCAGGTTGTTCCTTGTGGAGAAGGTAACCAGCCCATGTTCCAGCTCTGCTGGGGCACCACAGTCTGCAACTGAGCGAGAAGAGAGTAAGATCCCTCAATTATCTGTTGATCTTCTTCTTGGGGCCATTTGGCATGTTGTGCACAGCACATAGCTTTGGTAAGTCATGCTATAGTCTGAGAATGATGCCAGGAGATTATGGAGGGCACGACCTATGAAATCACCAATGGCCTTGCTTTTGGGGGGATAAGTGGTCAATTCACTTATCCTAATCTCAATTTCAGGGCAAGGGCAGGTCTGCTAAGATTTAAGCAGACCCATCTCTTCCCTACCAGGGCTCTTTCCTTGACTTCCAGATCTATTGTACATTCCTCTTAGCCTCTTCTTCCCAAGCTTGAAGCCTGTGGCTCAGCAAGAAATTCTGGTTAAGAACAAAAGGATATTCAATACTTCCAGACCCAACCACACGCTAAGAGCCATTAATGTGCTCATACTGAAGCTCAGTAAATAAATAAATAAATAAATAAATAAATAAATAAATAAATAAATAAAACAGAAAGAAATGCAATAAAGCCCCACCCTGCTGGCTCTCTGTAGACACAAAAGTCAGGAGGTGGTGGTTAGGGTAGACCAATTTTAAGTCTTTACTGCTTATTTTTTCTAATTATTGGTGGCAGGACATTGAAGTTGGCTATAGAATAAGACCAAAGATATCTGCTTTTCAGGGGATATTTTCAGTCCAACAAGTTCTCAGGCAAGTTTCCAGCAGGGATAAAGTCCATTATGAGTCTAACAGGAGCCAGGTCAGAGGCTGAGGACCCAAACTGTTCATGTTTCTTCATGGGCTTCCATTAGGGAGTGGTGCTCATTCCTAAGGAAATCTTAATTTTAGGTCTAAAACCTCTACCAGAGTTAAAGAATCATAGAGGAATCACAGAAGTTCACAGTTGCAAAGGATTGCTAAGACAGGTGTCAATAAGGTCAACTTTACAGATGAGCTCAGAGAAGAGACTTAACTGGTCTAAGGTCACACAGCGAGTTATGATCAGGGAACTAGACCTGACCTTAACTCAGTTTTTCTTAACTAAACAAAGCTGACAGTTCTGAAGGATCTGTTTGCTAGTTGAAATTGCCTATAATCAGTATTAGCTGGGTAATGATCAATATTGATTGTCAACCTTCTGATAATTTCAGAGGACTGCATTCCAAGGCCCTGGTAGAATTTCCAGAGTTTTTCTTTTTCTGAATTTTGCCTGCTCACCTTAGAAAACAGAAAGGGGACAATTTGCCCCTGAGATGCTACTCAGATATTGTGATTTTGGTTTGATTGAACAAGGAGTTGTCAAACTTTTTTTTTTTAATATATTTTTATTGATTTTGTACAGAGAGGAAGAGAGAGAGATAGAAAGTCAGAAACATCGATGAGAGAGTCATCGATCAGCTGCCTCTTGCACACCCCTCACGGGGAATATGCCCACAACCAAGGTACATGCCCTTGACCGGAACTGAACCGGGGACCTTTCAGTCCTGAAGCCGACGCTCTATCCATTGAGCCAAACCGGTTTCGGCAGGAGTTGTCAAACTTAAAATATAACTAACTCCAATACCCTTCGGGATGGAGCAGAGAATGAAGAATGGGAATAAATGTAGGTAGATCCCTTCTACCCAAAAGGATGGCAAAAACCAGGAGAACTAGTTAGTGTTTTGTTCTGGCATCTGCTCCCCCCCCCCCGCCCCTCCCCCGTCCTCGGGACAAATCATTCCCATTTGTCTTGATCATTCAAAGTAGGCACATTCATCTACACTGTGAGGAGAGCATGTGAAGATCAGCACTAGGATGACAAGAGGTGGTAATATTTATTATTGAAAGCTATCAACAGTTTTCAATGCATTTTCCTGCTGAGTCTCACAGCACATCACATTTTCTTTACTTTTTTAGGAAATGCCATTGATGGATGTTTGAATCTTGGTATGACTCTCATCTCCCTTAACTCCAATCTAGCAGTTCATTTTGCCTAAGATATCCTCAAAACCTGATACCTAATTCCAGGTGGAGGAATTCTAGGGTTGATCTTAGATATGGTGAGAAAGTCAAGCTATGTGACATAGCTAGCACTGGTGAGAAGTATTCTGGGTGGAGGGCCTGTTTTCATATTACTCTAGAAAAGTAACTTTGCCCACTTTCTAAAGATGGACCTACAACCATATAGAGGAGGTGGTACGTAGTGGAAAGTGGAAATCACTTCAGCTTGGGTAGAGTGAGCAGGAAAGGGGTATGCCTTCTCCCAAAGGCTATGGTGGCCCAGAGACAACTTCCCTTTTTTAGTTGCCTTGAGAAGCTCTGACTGATATCACCAGAGATGCTGTATCCAGACTGTGCTTCCTTAACTAATTTGTCTTTTGCTTTAGGAATAGTTTCATCCTTTTCTCTAAAGATTACTCTGGCCACTTCTACACTCTTCCCCATTCCCTTGACCTCCCTTTTTCATTCTTTGGAATGGGATGTACCACCCCATGTCTTTCTTGATCATACTTTGCCACAATTTGAGGGCTTCTTAGAGAACTCAGAGTTAGCTCAACCCAGGGATGGCCCCCTCCCACTCAGTCTCACCTCCATCCTTCCCCTCCATGGACTTTTGTTCCAGCATCACAGACCCCTTCCTGTACCTCTTTCTCCTCTGCTATTTTGCCCATATGGGAAACCCTATGTATTCATGTCCTGGCCACCTCAAGGCCTTAAATGTGGCTTTTTCTTGAAAAACTTTTCTAATCAGATAGGGATGATTCCGTATTTTTCTTTGCAGAGCCTTTATTTATTGATCTCTCTCTGATGTATGCATCTCATGTTGCCTGTTGTTACAATTATTTGGGCACATTTCAAACCTTCTGCCTAAATTATAATTTCCTCTATCACATCAAGTACCATATATATTATACTTTTGGGGCTTAAAAATATTGATTCAATTGTATTTAGTGACCATCCTATGTCCTGTCTTAGGGGCACTCCTGCCCTATGCAGGCACTGAAACCTCCGGGCAGCTCCTTGTCCACCCTTGCAGGATTCTGCCCTCCTCCAGAGGCCATTTCCTCACCACACTAACTAGTAGTCACAATGCAATGCAAGGCTTCTCTGATATGTGTGTCCAGATTTTGTTCAGGCTGAAGCAGAGGTTTCCAGTATGCTGGCTGCATTCCACAGCCCTTATCACTACTTGCAATTGACCCTGGGATTTCCCAGGGCACCCGAGCTGAGGGGTGCTGCTTTCAATGTGATCCCTATCTTTTGCAAACTTTAATGAGTGATTTTTCAGAAATTCAAAACGCATAAGCCCCAGAAGAAAGAACTCTCGATGATGGAATCTTAGCCCTGTCTTGGTATAAGTGGAAAGGAAGATTTTAGGCATGAAGATATATTTAGATTCCCTAAAAATCCAGGCTATATGAGTTATTCCTAGTTCCACTTACTCATGTAAAGAAAATAGCAACAAGTAAAAATATTAAAGACATAAAGTCACAGGCATTCTGACCCATTTTAATTTGAAGTGTAAAGTGGATTGGAAACCAGGTCCCACTTTGACCTGGTCAACCTAAGGCCATGGGATTGTATATTATAAAATCTTGTGTCTATAGGACCAAAGTCATTTTTCCTTTGAAAAGAATATGGTCCACTTAGAGGTGATAAATCTCCCATTATCTTTTTTTTTAATTTACTCTTTTCTAGAGTAATGTTTGAATAATGGTTGAACCCTCAAAATGAAAATTGTTTTCATACAGGCAGGAGTTTCAATTCTTTGAGAATTTTGTTGTCTTGTTTAGCATCCTTTCTGATCCGCAATGAAATGGGGAATGGAGTGTTGGCAGGGTGGGGAGGGGTGGAGTAGCTCTGGGACCCGGGGTCTTGTGAGTGATCCATTCCTGGATGTCTGCAGTGTGTGGGGTCCCGTCATTCACTGGGTCACTTGCTCTGACTTGAGTTCACTCTCCACATCCATTTCAGTTTCTGTCACCATGGTGAGGATCAAAGAGGGATCAGTGGGTCCAGAGGAAGGAAGCAGAGAGAGGAATGGAGAGAGAGAAAGAAGAGAAAAATTAGCAAGCAAAGCAGAAGCAGTTCATGCTGGAAATACAGAAATCACTGCATCAGAATTGATTAAGAATGCACAGTTTAGGTACAGTCAGTGTGAAGGCAGTTTGGGATTGTGGAATTTGTACCATTCAGAGAATTTGCACAGTCATAAATGCTGGCTCATGAAGAGTATAATATTCTGCTCCGGAGTGAATTTGCATTCACCTAACCTGGACACTCATTTGACAGATGGCATTCAGAATGGAACAGAACTTGTCAGGGGTCACTACAGCAAGGTGGTGGCAGGTCCCATAATTTTTACTTCCTGTTCTGGTGCAGGTTTCTTCACTGCACACACACTTCCTGTCAGTTCCCAACCTCTTTCAGAATCTCTGGGGACTCTCAACTTCTCAGTCTTGTTCAATATTGTGTTTTCCCTATGACCTGGCACGTACCTGGGACAGAGAGATGTTCAATAAATACCTACTCATAAATGAGCAGGGATGTCCTAGTCTAAATAGGAATTCTAATAGCCCCAAACCAGGCTATGCTGGGAAAGCCAGATCATGTTAGGGAAACAAAAAATTCCTCTTTTCTGTGGCACAAAACAACAGGCATTCTTCTGTATACTAACAAAAGTCACATAAAAGAGTACCATCAAATGTAATGGTGCCTAACTCTACCAACACTTATGTTACAATAAGTGTCTTATTCAGGGAAGAAAATTATCATCAAAGTTTTCTACATGTGTAAATGAGAGGAACCAAAACTTTTCCTAGTGATGGAGTTGGGTAGGGGAAGAAATAATCTTTTATTGAGCTTTTTCTTATTCCTGGTGCTCCCCATGTATGATATGTACATTAACATAGCTAGTCCTCAGAACAATCAAGAATGTAGGAAACTGAAGCAAAAAGAGTCTGAGTAAATTTCTTAGGGACCTGCAACTGCTTGAATCTGGATTTGAATCTACAACTTTCTGACTCCAAAGCCACATTCTATCCTCTACACCCACATTCTCCTTTAGCACCTCCTTCTCAACAGCCTCAAGCATGGGTAGAACTCAGCCACAGCACCACACATGAGCCACATGTGGGAGGAGGCAGCAGATGTGTCTGCTGGCATTTAAGTTTCTCCATGTCTGGCTCTAGTCTTTTCCATCTGAGTTCTCTGTAGACCTCTGCCAAAGCATCCAGTAAATGTTGGTTGAAGCCATAAAAAGCACCTTCTACCCCCTCCCATGTCCCCCACACATACATACTAGACTCTGACTCCAGCTACATCATCCCATAAAGAAAGGAAAATTGACAACAAGCACACACTGCTCCAAAGTTCTGTCTGGGATTTGCTTCAAGGGAGTCCCAGCCTGATAGTGTCCCGTTGGGGCAGTGGGAGTAGATCTGCCAGCCCAATGGATCTGAGCCATTTAGGAGATGGTGGGACAAGGACACCACTCCAAGTTTACATGCAGTCATGAATTAGGGGCAGGCGAGACTAATCCTAATTCTTGACTTCTCACCTCTCTGTTTTAAAGCAAATCCTCCTCTCCTTCCTTCCTGTCTCTTTTTCCTCCCTTTTTTTGTCACGATAGATAAGTGTCCTAAAATTGTGGTCTTTACAAGTCTTGCATTGAAGTCACATGGGTAGGGGGAGAGAAGGAAGTGGCTGACACTTGGTATTTTTGCAAAGCTTACTAGGTTATTTATATGGAACACATTATGTTAGAACCACCAGGATATATTCTAGAATATAAAAATAGTTCAAACTTTCTATTTAACAGTTAAGGAGGAGGATCCAGTCCATGGTCATAAGGGTGGGTTAGGAGCAGAGACAAGGCAAGAACTCTGAGCCCCAAGGTCATGCAGAACTGTGTCACCAGCTTCACACACATCCACTGTATTGACTCCATAGTCCTAAAGCATAAGCTGTCCCAGAAGACTTAGTGGATATGACTGACAGCCACATGGACTGGCAAGGTCACTTGGCTCTGGGCACTGGGGCCAAAATAGTTTCCTGAATTAGCTATTTGAAACAGAGAGCTAGTTTCAAACCTGGAGACATGCTATTTCTGTAGCAAGTTTGGCAACCTGTCTGCAGGCAGAGGTAAAAATACGCATTAAGAAAGTAAAGACCCACAAAAAGTTTCTTTTGGAATCTTATTGTTTTTGTTTGTTTTGTTTTTTTCTACATTATAATTTTAATTTTTATTTATTTATTTTTAAATATATTTTATTGACTTTACAGAGAGGCAGAGAGAGGGATAGAGAGCTAGAAACATCGATGAGAGAGAATCATCGATCAGCTGCCTCTTGCACACCTCTACTGGGGATGTGCCCGCAACCAAGGCACATACCCTTGACCGGAATTGAACCCGGGACCCTTCAGTCTGCAGGCCCATGCTCCATCCACTAAGCCAAACCGGTTTCGGCTGGAATCTTATTGTTTTATTGCTAAAAGATACATATTTCTTTTGTCCAACTCACATGTGTCTGCTGACCTTCTGCCCCCTTTATTTTAAAGTGCACCTGCCAAGTGGTCCCCCCTGTGTGGTCTCTGCTCGAATCCCACCAGTGCTGGGGAACTCATGGTTTTTATAATAAAGGGATTTTGTTTTCTTACGTTTACAAATGGGAATCTCGTTACTCCACGAGCCATCCTTCAGGCACTCTATCTGGAATGTGTCCATCTCCACATTATCCTAGGAAGAAACATGACAAAGATGTGGGGAGAAGGAAAACAGGTGGGGTTGGTGGTGGCTTTTCAGCACAAGCAGCTCAAACTACAAATCTGGGTGTCCTAACATGAAGTTTTCAAAACATATGTCTCCAAGAGCAAGCTTAAAGATGAGAAAAAAGTAGATGCTGAGTTTGTATTCTCAATTCCTGCCCTGGAGAGAGTCCTGCCACCTCTAAAAAGGATATGACAAGGGATTTGGGCAACTGTCTCTGAAGGGAAATCTATACTTTTTACTCCTTTTTCAGAACGGTGGCTTTCAAACCTGAGCAAGCATCAGCATCCTGAAGGCACTTGCACAGATTGCGGGGCCCTGCCCCTGAAGATTCTGATTCAGTGGCTCTGACCTAGGAATTAAGCCTTTGCATTTTTAACAAGTGAGTTGATGCTGCAGTGGGGACCCCACTTCGAGAACCATTCCTTCAGGGCACTGGTCCACCAGCTTGGCTTACATCAGACTCACCTGGGCAACGTAACAGAAAACCAATCACTGGGCACTGCCCTAGAGATTCTGCTTTCATTGAGCTAGGGTGGGCCTAGAAAGTGGACTTGTTTTTTTTTAAGTTAAGCAGGTGATTCCTAGGAGAATCAGGGTTTCAGAGGGTGAACAAGTTAGCAATACATATCTGTCACCTCTAAAATCCCTGTTTCTTCCACCTCCATTTCCCCCAATAAGCCTCAAATTTGTTAAGGTTGTTTGTCCTGATTGTAGAGATGAGGAGAGCTAGATTTTTGAAATTCAAACCAGCCCACACTCTGGTAAAATATTTTTGTGCCACTTCCAGAAGTGAGAGTCTGGGACACATGCTTTAAACTTTTAAAAGACAAACTTCTGGAGTGCTTTGTAGATTTATGGGAAATCTAGAAAATACTATGGTGGGACCATCACAAGCTCTGGAAGCCCATCTATTCAGGGAAGCTCTCGAGAGAATTTCTCTAGCTTGGTCTATAAATACTCCCCAGGCAGAACTCTGTACCTTCAGCACTTTGTAGCCTGTGTTACAGCTGATGAGCACCTGGTCTTTGAAGAAATACTTGGCTTGCAAGGGCTCAATTTTCCCTTGGACAGGAGGTTGTAGCCCTGGACATTCCTTCCCTGTTGAAGGAATGGAAAAATAGCAAGTGAGAAAACAAGGAAAAGTATGGCAGCCAGAGGCCAGTCCCTAGACTGCCATGCATGATGGAGGAGAAGACACAGGACTGGGTGTTAGGGGTCTGGACCTAATAAAACCTGAAGAAAACTTACTGGAACCTGAGTAGATTCTTGGACCTCTCTTTTCTCATTTGTATAATGAGGTGGTTAACCAGATGATTTACTCAAAACTCACGATTGGATAGCATATTAAGTGCCATTGAATGTAAGCCTAGTCTGATGCTTTCTTATTTTTAAATAACATCTATTTGCATTTCTATAGTGACAGGGGAGCTCCATACTTCCCAAAGCTTCACCTTTCATATTGAATTCATCTGATTAAAGAAATGGTAGTTCCATATGCAACTGAAATTTATACCGTTCTAATATTTACTTATCAGGAGTAGTTTGCCCTCTTGGGGAACTCAGGGTGACACCAATAGCTCTTTCTTCCCAAGACCATGCCTTAAAATGTTGGTCTGTGATCATATGCCTCTGAGCTCTATTTTCAAAAGGCAAAAGTCAGACAGGATTCCCAGGCCTAGGGCTATCCCTGAAAATGTTTCCTGGACAAACTCTCTTTCGTTAACATTTGTTTCACTTTTCTCTACAGAATCAGCCACTAAATTTGATAGTGCAGTTCAGGCCAGGATATTGGAGTCTAGGAATTGAAATAGTCATGCCCAGCTGTGGTCTTGTTGCTGATGTCTACCCTCTTCGTTTTCAAGTTATTGAATACAAATTGAGTCAAATGGCTCTATTAATATTTGGGCCGGGATTGGCTGCCTTGGGGTATTAGAGAATGAAACCCGTGGGCTTTGCCAGTCTAAGGGGAACATAAAGAGCCAAACTGCAGTAGTGGAACATTTTGAGCTACAGGTTCACACCAAAATTCCAGCCTCAGACTTAGAGAAGGATGGAGCTGGAAGGGTCCTCTCCATGCCCAATGAATCACAGTGTGTGTGGGGGTGCGGTTCAAAACCCAAGTTCTGTTTTTTTAATCTCCCCATATGATTCCGACATACAGTAAATTTGAACACACCATGATCACCCCATGATCACCCCATTATATAGAAAAGAAACTGAATCAGAAGAGAAAATGTGCCTTGTTGTACCAGTGGCAGAGCTGGTAATCCCACTACAATCTCCGAGGAGTCCCAGGCTGGAGCCTCCTCATCCCTCAGCCATGGAGCTCCATGAGGGCTGAGCACAAGGACAAAGTTACCTGCTGCCTGGTATGAGAGCTTCCAGCCCCGGTTCTCGCCTGAATTGTCACTGCGGAACCGGATTGAGACATTGTGGGTCTGAGTATTGATAGGTTCTGGGGATTTCTCTCCACAGAAAGGTCCCAAGACTTTTGACCCAACTTCAATCTGTGAGGACAAGACAAAGGAAAAGGAGGTTAACATCAGAATAGCAGTGGCTGCTTCAGGGACCACCTTTACACTGTGCTGGGGTTTTCTGGAAGCCTTCATGTGAAACCTATTATTCACTCATGTTTCTAGTGGATGTTACCAGATATTTCCATTATTAGTCCCACAATTTATAATTTATAATTTATAATAGCCTTGACAGTGGAATAGGCAGGCTAATAATCTGCTCAAAGATGAACATACTATGCCTCAGAGAGAGATAGACCTTGAACTGAGCAAAGCATAGAAAAGGCCTCTGCTCTCAAAAAACTTTCAGTCTAGTTGGGGGAGGATAATAAATATGTGCTTTTTGTTTCTAACTTATATAGTAAAATCTATATAACCTATGGAATTCATCATTAATATGATAGATAATAACTCTAAATAGGTGGCCAGGGAAGGCCTCCTTGAGTAGGCAATACTGGATTTGAGACATACAGGATGAATAGGAGTTTTTCATTGGAGAGTGAGGGTAGAATACTTTCCATGTGGAGAACACAGTATATGTGAAGGTTAAGGCCAACAGAGGGAGTGCCATGGCATGAAGTTGAGAAGACAGGCAAAGGCAATATTGTGCTGAGGAATATGCTTATTTCCAAGTGCAACCTTGATCTAATATGACTTTTCTGAAGATCAGCCTGGGTGCTATGGGAGAACAGGCATTGTAGGGCAAGGATGGAAGCTTTGCAGTTGCCCAGGAGATAATAGGGTTTGGACTAAGATAGGAGGGTGGGATGGAGGAAAGGGAATAGGTACTATTCACTGATCCAGATTTTTCAACTCCCAGTCCTGGGTCTTTCGTATGTGTTTAACTGTCTTCCTTCCGTCTCTGAGGATGAGAATGCCTTAAGCCTCATTTAGTGACTTCTACAATCCTGGGTGATATCTTCATCTTGTCAGCTTTACTGTGGAGAGGGGGCGGGGGAAGTAAATCCCCAAATGATTAAGTTTCTGGATAAGGCTCATGGCAGAGCTCCTGGCAACTATGTGTGGTAGGCAGAATTCTAAGGTGGTCCTCATGAGCTTTCTTCCAGGTGTTACTTCATGATGATATTATGCTACATGGCAAAAGGGATTTTATAGGTGGCCAAGTGGCTAGTTTTGGACCAAGGAAGATTTCTAGACTAGATCTGATTAAGCTGGTAGATATTACTTGAAATAGTTATTTTTTGGAAGAAAGATGTTTGGCCTTCTATCCCGGGAGAAGGTAGAGGGCAAGATTATCAATTTCCCCAATTCAGCAAGATTTTCCAGTATCGCCAGAGGAAGGTCCATTGCAGGCTTACCTTGATATAATCATAGGGGCAAGGCACCTCTGGATGGTCCTCAATGTCGAAAATGTCTTCAAACTTCAGGCTGATCATGAAACCTTCCTCCAGTCTGATCGCATAGAAGCATTCGGAGCTCTTAGGATAAGGGTTGGGGAAGTCAGGGCTGGTGATCACGCCAGTCCTCTGGGTGAAGAGGTTGTCACTGCACTCCACTATGGGAAACATATCAGAGCAAAGTCACCCACCACACATGGCCACAGAAATGCCTTTCTTATCTGTTACTGTATGGTTCAACAGTGGTCCCTAGAGGCTCTAGTAGGAAAGGAATACTTATCCCCCATCACATATGGGGAAACTGAATTTCAGTGAGAGGAAAGTGATTTATCCAAATCACACACCAGTAATTTGCAGGGTCAAGACTCAAAGGCAGTGAGTGTTATAAGCCTTCTCATCAGATTCTGTGGCATTGGGGGGAAGGAGGGAAGGACAGGGTTTAAGATGGAAAGGTTTTGAGATGGAATGGTTGAGGTGGTGGTGTCTAGACTGCTTTTGTCCTACTCTCCCTTTAGCCGAGAACTCCATTAGGTCTCTGCTCAAAGCCTGTTTTGATCCCTCATACACCCCCTCTCCTCTGGCACCTGGCTTTGCTTTGTTTCCCTTTATACTGCCAACCACTACTTGTCACTATGTGATAGACTTGTTTGTGGATTCTCTTGCCCCCACTAGACTGTAAGTACCTTGAACTCAGGGATTCTTTGTCCCTATTTCATCTGCTACACCAAGGACGCAGCACTGGCTGTGGCTTAACTCTGCTAAGGTTCTTTTATTTGCTATTGGATCTTTGTCCTTGAGTTGACCCATCCTAGATGTAGGATGTCAATTCCTTCTAAGCACTACTCATCCTGCTCATTTTCATAAGAGTAAACTGTGTCCCAGAAAAGGGGGCATGACTAACTTGAAAGTCTACAACTCAGCTGTAGAGCAAAGTTTAGGTCAAGGTAACTTGAATTCCCACCTGTTTTCATTTTCTGTATTACACATTCTTGTGGCAATTATATTGCCCCAAAGGGGTTTAAAATTAGTTCTTGGTTGGGAGAAGTCTACCCTTTTTATGAATGATACATAGTTAGGCATACAGTACATAAATAATATATACAGTGTATCTGTGGTATTAAAATTTCATGGGTATGGGCAGATATTAAGAAGATTAGGAAGATGTTTTAAAAAGTTCCTGGAGGCACAGGCAAAGTGAAAAAGATAAAGAAATCTTGCTCATTCTTAGCCCCACTGAACTCAGTATATAGTAGATACTCAATAAAAACATACTGAATGGAAACCATAGAAAATATAACCCTTGAGATGAGACTCCTATAAGTGCCTTTTCTCTACTGATGCGTCAAACAGGGTTGTTGTTTTTTTTTTCCCCCAGAAGCAAGTAGAAACTTTTGAAGGAGAAAGAAAAAGAATTCTCATTTCCAAACTTGTTCTCCTCCAATGACCTCTCACTCAGCTTCCAAGGGATTTTTCTGAAACCCAGTTCCTTACCCTGCAGTCACGCTAATGGTAATTCCCCAAACGATCCAAAATCTACTGGGTGTAGGCAGGTTTGTGGAAGCTGTTCTCTGTCTTTTCCTTATTCTTCTATATTTGTCAGGGCTATCATTTCTGAAACATGTTTGCCCACACCCCAGGCAAACTCAGATCTGATTGTACTGTGGACACACTACTTGTACAGCTTTTACTACTTTTCACCATTTGCTTTGTGGCTGTTTCCCATTAACCAGATGGTCCTCATGGAAAGTAGCTGACCCTTCTGCTTGTCCACCTCTGCCCAGCCCAGAGACTATGGCAGAATAGGCATGCTGATAAAAGATTAAAACAGAGAGAGCTAGAAATGCTGTTTCTGTCTTTGCCTCTCTCCTCCCTCTTTTTTCCTTTGGACCAAGTTTTCTTTATCACAGAGGAACTTAGGGGCTATGGAAAAGAGCAAAAGAAACTTCTGGGGGAGGCCTAGTTCATGGCTCAGAGAGAGGGAACAGGGAAAGCTTTTTTTTTTTTTTGCAGACCAATTACCTGCAGAGGGAGAGGAGATAGGGAGAAAAGGGCAGAGATTCCTGCTGCCCAGGAAGAAAGATGGTTAATAGGCTAGGGTTGCTGGGCATTTCAACCACGTAGTACCTAGAGGCACAGATCTCAGATTTCATTTTTAATTGTTCCTACAGTCCTTCTTCTAAGCCTCCCTCATCTGACTGGAAAATGTGGCACACAATGGTGATGAATAGTATCATCCCCATGCCTCACCTCTGCAGGTCCTGTTGTCCGTGTGGAGGATGTAGCCAAAGCGGCAGGAGCAATAGTAGCCACCAATGTAGTTATGGCAGTAATGGTCACAGGACAGTTCTTCATCCTCCTGCTCTGTGCACTCGTCCACATCTGTGGGGGCAGGCACAGCCTCTCAGTCAGTGAATCCATGAGGGATGATGAAGACAACAGCTAACATTTTTAGAGCACTTAGTGTAGGCTATTCATTATGTTGTGAGATGCTTGCATTTCATCATTTGATCCTCACATGAAACCCAGAAGTAGCCAATGTTTCTGTTTACAGGAGGAAACTGGAACTCAGAAAGGTAAGAGACTTAACCAAGATTATAGAGAGCCAGGTTCAAACCCAAGCAACCTGTCTTGTGCCACTATCTTATAACAATAGTGAAAATAGTAAGCAGGGCTGTTACTATTCCTATTCAACAGATGATAAGACTGAGAGATTTAGAGGCATTAAACAACTGACTCCAAGTCACACAGATAGTAAGTGGTAGGGACAGCATGGGCTGGTCCCAGAGCATAGGCTCTTATCTTCTACTCCATTCTACCTGTCTCTATGTTGCTTATAGGGGCCCAGCCCTGTCCTAAGCACTAGAAATATAAAGATAAAAAAGATGTATGTTCTCAATCCAATTTAAAAATTTGGCTCAGCCAGCATGGCTCAGGGGTTGAACATAGACTTATAAAACAGAAGGTCACAGTTTGATTCCCAGTTAGGGTACATGTCTGGATTGTGGGCTCAATCCCCAGTATGGGACATGCAGGAGGCAGCTGATCAATGATTCTCTGACATCATTTGATGTTTCTATCTTTCTCCCTTTCTCCCTTCCTTTCTGAAATCAATAACAATGTTTTATGTTGTTGTTGTTGTTTTGCTTTAAATTGAACATGCATTTCCCCCAAAAGGATATATAAATGGCCAGCAAGCATGTGTAAAGATGCTCCAGGTCACTAGTCAGCAGGTGGATAGATATGTAATAGAGCAAATGCAATAAGACATTCATGGTAAAATCTGCGTCATGAGTACACAGCTGTTCATTGTAAAGAAGAGAGTACAAGACACTTTTAATCTTTATTGAGAAACGGAGACCTGGGGATGAGCCACCCACTTCTCACTTACCCACAGCCATGTAGTGGGCATCGAAACCTGTGAATCGCTCCTCATCAGAGAAATCTGACTGGAAAGTGATGGACATGAAGGAACCAGGGGAGAGGATCATTTCCTGGCCAGGGGTATGCTCAGTGTCTGTGTTCTCACTGCCACAGAAGATTGCCAGCAACTGGTCTTCAGTTTCTACCTTTAAGGTCAAAGAGAAAGGGAACAAATGAGCAGCTTTTCAAATTAGTTTCTTCAGTAGAAAAGAGGGAGAGGCTTCCCCGGAGTAGACCGAGCAGCCTGGGAAGTCCAAAGGATAGGGATTAGGAATTATGGAATTTAAGGAAAGACACATTACAGCTTAAGTAAAAGTGGCCATCTGATCACTGTTGCATTCATTTTGTTTAGATCCATCAAAAGTAGCTTGACCTTTTTCATTTCTGTTGACAACCAAATAGCTTTTGGTTGAAAATGACTCAATGTTAAAATTAAAAGAGTTACATCACAGATGGATTTTATATGCCACAGGAATTTAGCACATTCCAAAGAAAAGAAACTTTATATACAATATAAGTCATTCATTGAGCATTCAGTGTGTGCTGATGCTGGGCAAAATAGGTGATGGGGATGATGAGAGAAGATTAAGACATAGAGCTATGCATGTTCAGACTGATGAAAACACCCAGAGCTATTATTCAGTGTGACAGGTGGTTTAATGGAAACAAGCACTGGGGATGCATGCAGAAGGAGGTGAAATATTCCCATTAGAATGTAAGCTGCAGGACAACAAGACTTTGTGTTCTTTACAGATGTGTCACCATATATGGAATAGGACCTAGTACATAGCAGTTGTTTGTTATCAAGATCTCAAAGAACAAGGCCCATTTGGAGAACAACGAGAAGCCAGGTAATCTGTAAAGATTGTAGGTGATGCACTTAGAAAGATAGGTGATTTTTAAAATTTATTTAAATCATGGTTGACCTTGAATGCCATAATAATAAGTGAGTCTTAATTTTGTGAATAAAAGGAAGACATTGAAAACTATTGAACAGGAAAGACGTGTCATCAGTACTACATTTAATAGGTAGTCTTAATAATACCAAAACTACTGGAATCATCCAGAAGTAGTATATTTTTTGTGTATGTCTGTACTAAGAGTCAAATGTAGAAAATGACTATTTGCTAAAAGAATTATTTACATTGAGAGAGCAGAAGACCCAAGCAGAGATCTCAAACTGTTGCCTAACAATGATTGTGGGTGTTGATTTGGGAAGCACTGGATAGCAGCTGTTTGATAGTATTTATTTGACCACAAATGCTTGGCCTACCCATGACTCTATTGTTTACATCTTTCCCAATTCTTGTAAGCCTATATTTGTACTTGCAACTTTTAGACTGATTTTAGTCAAGATGCATAAGAAAATCTCTCACCAAGAATAATTTCTGCTGCCTTTCAAAGTCATTAAAGGAAAGTTCTCAAAGGCTGCCTATCTCTAGTAGATTCTAATGAATTCATTGTTTTGTTCATTTAGTTTAGTATGCTAGAGTATCTTGACATTTGACACTTCTGTTTTGAAACTAATGATTTATTTATTTAAAATAAGTGGGAGTTTTAAAGAAAAACAATTTGCCATGGCAACAAAACACAAGGACAATTAATTGCTAACTTTGGGAATTGAAGTGTAAACAGAAGATGAGATCATGGCTTTGCTATTTATTTCTTTTCTCTGCAGATACTAGACAAACTTCACCAGACTTATTACTGTAGAACGTGCCTATATGCACACAGCTGAAATGTCACTTCCTTGAACATCACAGCTGGTTTGTTATCTGAGTTTTAAATATAGCTGAAGTTTTACTTAATTACAATAAAAAAAGTAAAAAAATATTTTTGTTATAATACTTTTTAAAGTGCTTAATACAAACCCTTCTTTTTTAGGTGAAACATGCCGACCTTTTGTTAGGATCCAGGGATTGTTATGAACATCAACCCTCTTAGGGATATTGTGTTGTGTAATGTTGCTTACCCTACATAGATCATCCCCAGACTATAATGCCTTTGTAATTCATATGTCTTATTTATGTACTGTTTTATTTGCTGTATCTTAATGAGTTTATTAGCTGAAATGTTATAAAATACAAACAAGTTAAACTGCTCTTCTTAGAACTCAATAAAAATAAGACTAAATAGGTTTGGAGTGAGGGCCCGAGAAAGGGCTTCTGCTACGAATGAGTAACTGCATGAGCTAGAGTGCCCTGTTTTGGTGGCCACTGCTTTGGAGTAATGAAAGCTGTAGTTAGAGGTCCTGACCCCTATTCCTGATCTACAATAAAACGTTATATGGTCACCTCCTCATTAGTTCTCAGTTATCTGCCTAATAAAACAGCGGTTTGAAATAGTTGAGTTCTATGTTCTCTTCCAATTTTGAAATACTAGTGATTTACCAAATTATAGTATCCATACTTACAGATTCATTCATACATACTAGGAAATGGAAGCAGGAGTTTCAACACACACACACACACACACACACACACACACACATTTCTTCCTGCTAAAAAATTTGATGGACTTGTTTGTGGTCTGTAACCATATAATATATAAACAATTATCATGAATAGTGATGTCTTGATGAAAGAGACACATCAGCCTCCTTCCTGTAATCTGGTACCCCAAGGTTTTTGGGGTCTATAATGCCTGTAGCGTGGGTACTTCTAAGTGAAACCAATCAGAGATAATTTGTAAGGAAGAGACCTAATGAAGTTCTGTGATAAATAACTTACCTCCTCATATATTTCAGGCTTAGGGACCTTTTTATGATGGCAGATAAAGTCATCACCTGCAGAGCCACACTATTTTAGAGAATAGGTAAGCATGCACCAGGTGAGACCCATGGGAAAATCTGAGCCATATACACCTCTAGAAGCAGGAAAGAAAAGGCCCTGGAACTCTGGGAATTTAGCCTGCAGCTCTGAATAGAATCCTGATTTATCAGAGTTGGGAGGGAGGGACCTTTCACAGCTATTTCAATTGCCCTCCTTCTAGAGGAAACTGAGGTCTAAAGAGGGGAAGTGATTTGCTTAAGAGTAGAGAGATAATCACAAGCATTTCCTGATATCAATTTTGCTTTTGAAACTTTTCTGACCCTGGAGAAAGAAACCCAACAACCCAGAGTGCCTGTGACAAAAGACATAGACACTTTGACAAACAACTTTTCTGGTTCAAGGGCCTCTTGAAATCCTATCTTGGGTGCATGAACTATCTCCCAGAGAGGATGTGGCTCAGTAAAAGTTCCAGCTATAACCTAAACAGAGGGGGTCACTGGCCCTGGTTAAGATTTGCAGCTGCTGCTATGAATTGTAATATTCTTTAAAAATAATTTATTTCTGAGTACATGTGGAAGATTGAGCCCTGGTTCTTGTTTGGATTGTCCTGCTTAGGGCCATCATATTAACAATATGGAGGGAAATGACTTATCACGTGACACAAAATTCATAATAATAGGGAACCAAGAATTATCTGGTTGGGGATCACAGACTCTTCATTTTTCTATATCTTATTATAGGTAACCATGTCCTTTCAGGCTGTTGTTATTTAAGACACCAGCACATGGATGCATGTTCCCAACTTATTTTCTTTCAACTTAATTCAATAATTATTTATAATCCAAGTGCTGTCTGGACTGTAATGTTGAGAATGCCAAAAATTACTTATTTGTTGCATGAGCTTCATAAGCAAATCCCCTGCTTCTGAGAATGTGAAATTTTGTAGAAGTACTCGAATGTATGTGTTTTAGGGCATTGTCAGGCTATATTTATTGCAGTGAGAGATAGGAAGTTCTGGGGGTTTAAAAAAAAAAAAGAAAAAAGAAAAAAAATCATCCACCTGAGGGGAATCAGAAAACATTTAGGAAGAAGAAAACGTTCTTTGAGCTGGGGACTGAAAGGTGAGCAGGTAGAGAGGTGAGGGGTAGTAGGGAGAGAATGTAGGCAGAGAAACTTGAACTTTCTGTCTTTCACTGCAGTCTGATAATGCCCTAACGTGTATACATTTAAGTACTTATCTTATTCTGCTACTAAATTTCACATTCCCAGAAGCATGGGACTTGCATATGCGACAAATAAATATATTTTGGCATTCTCCATATTACAGTTCAGACAGAACTTGGAGGTATTCAAAGTCTCAACCACCCCTCCTTTTCAACCAATATCTGACATGGGAAAAGGGGTTCTATTGAGGAAATAAATCTGGAAAGAGAGATCTAAGGAGGAGAAGCTAGAGTCTGTTTTCCATGAATTTTCTACCTTAGAAACAGCATAAAAAATTCCTAGGCAACACTAGGGCAGGACAGCAGAAACTTTGGCCCAATTTCTGTAGAATGACAGATACAACTGCTTTCTATGTGCCCATAAAGTTATCAGAGTTTATAGACAAATATCTGTTGGTTCCTTGATGCATTAGATGGAGAAGGTAACTTGGGGGCAATGTTTTCATTTTACAGATGAGAAACCTGAAACCCAGATGACCCAAATGAATCAGACATGGTTATTATTTAGCAAGTGGTGGCTCTGGTCCAAAATCACTGCATTCTGATTCCATAGCCAATGATACTCATGCTCCTATCAACAAGGGCTGTCCTGCAGACCCAATGGCTCCAGGTTTTGCTTGTCATTGCTCAAAAGCTACATCCTGCGCCCCTCTGATATCTTCTCTGGGTGCTTGAAGAGCTTTATAGAGTTAATTTAGGCAGACATTTAGAATGTGCTTGATTGTCCTCTTGTGATTAGTTGATCTTGGAACTACATTTCCCAGGGTCTTCTTCCCTATATAGTTCCAGGGTAGTATTGGCCAAAAGAGGAACTTGTGTAAGGTTAGAACACAACAGTTTTTTATTCTCTAAAGGTTGTGATCATATATAGAAATGAACAAATATAGATGTATTCAATAGGTTATAACTGGTCATCACTCTCTTCAATCTGCATCCAGCTCTTCTTTTTAACTACTGGTTCTGATGACCAGAAAGCCTACCACCAGATGCTTGTAGGTGGACCGACAGGGGTGGTAGCTGGTTAGAGCCAACAGCTTCTTATAGGCTCTTCCATGTGCTTCCCCTTCACAGTCCAATGCTGGTTCCTTAGCTGGACTTGCTTAATTCCTAAATTCCTTTGCAAATGCCATCATTTCCACCCATTCCAGGGTT